CTGAAATTTGACATGACTTTGGTTCATTAACACATTTCGAATCAAATTTGACTAAAATTTCATGCATGTTTTTTCGTTGGTGCATTTTCAATCAAATTTGACTAAAATTTCACATGAGTATTGTTCATTGATGCGATGCCAATAAAATTTGACTAAAATTTCACCTGGGTTTCATTCATTGGCGTGTATCAAATCAAATTTGACTTAAATTTTATCTGAATTTTGTTCGTTGGTGTGTTTCTAGTTAAATTTGATTAAAATTTTGCATGAGTTTGGTTCATTGAGACATTTCGAATCAAATTTGACTAAAATTTCTTGTAGGTTTTTTCTCTTAGTGCATTTCCAATCATATTTGACTAAAATTTCACATGAGATTTGCTCATTTACGCGATTCCAATAAAATTTGACAAAAATTTCTCTAGGGTTTTGTTCATTGGCATGTATCAAATCAAAATTGACTAAAATTTCATAGGAATTTTGTTTGTTGGAGCATTTTTAATCAAATTTGACTAAAATTTCACATGAGTTTTGTTCATTGACATATTTCGAATCAAATTTGACTAAAATTTCACATGAGTTTTGTTCATTGGCGCATTTCCAATCAAATTTGACCAAAATTCCCCATGAGTTTTGTTCATTGACACATTTTGAATCAAATTTGAGTAAAATTTCGTGCGAATTTTTTCGTTGGCGCGTTTCTAATCAAATTTGACTGAAATTTCACATGAGTTTTGTTCATTGACACGATTCCAATAAAATTTGACTAATATTTCTCAAGGGTTTCATTCATTGGCGGGTATCAAATCAAATATGACTAAGATTTCATCTGAAATTTGTTCGTTGGCGCGTTCCCAATTAAATTTGACTAAAATTTAATCGGAATTTAGTTCATTAGTATGTTTCTAATCAAATTTGAATAAAATTTCATCAACATTTTGTTCGTCAGCGCGTTTATAATCAAATTTTGCTAAAATTTGACCTGACTTTGGTTCATTGACACATTTCGAATCAAATTTGATTGAAATTTCGTGCGTGTTTTTTCGTTGGTTCGTTTCCAATCAAATTTGACTAAAATTTCACATAAGTATTGTTCATTGACACGATACCAATAAAATTTGACTAAATTTCACCTCGGTTTCATTCATTGGCGTGTATCAAATCAAATTTGACTTAAATTTTATCTCAATTTTGTTCATTGGTGTGTTTTTAGTCAAATTTGACTAAAATTTTACATGAGTTTGGTTCATTGACCCATTTCAAATCAAATTTAACCAAAATTTCTTGCGGGTTTTTTTGTTGTCGTATTTTCAATCGTATTTGACTAAAATTTCACATGAGTTCTGTTAATTGATGCGATTTCAATAAAATTTGGCTAAAATTTCACAAGAGTTTCATTCATTGGCGTGTATCAAATCAAATATGATTAAAATTTCGTCTTAAATTTGTTTGTTGGCACGTTTCCAATCAAATTTGATTGAAATTTAACGTGAGTTTGGTTCATTGGCTCAATTCCAATAAAATTTGACTAAAATTTCACATGAATTTTGTTCATTGGCATGTATCTAATCAAATTTGACTAAAATTTAACAAGAGTTTTGTTCATTAGTGCATTTTCAATCAAATTTGACAAAAATTCCGCATGAGTTTTGTTCATTGACACATTTCGAACCAAATTTGACTAAAATTTCACATAAATTTTGTTCATTGACGCTATCCCAATAAAATTTGAATAAAATCTCATAAGGATTTCGTTCATTGGCATGTATCAAATCAACTATGGCTAAAATTTCATCTGAAATTTGTTCGTTGGCGCGTTCCCAATTAAAATTGACTAAATTTTAATCAGGATTTAGTTCATTGGCGTGTTTCTAATCAAATTTGAATAAAATTTCACCAAAATTTTGTTCGATTGCGCGTTTATAATCAAATTTGACTAAAATTTGACATGACTTTGGTTCATTGACACCTTTCGAATCAAATTTGACTAAAATTTCAAGCGTATTTTTTCGTTGGTGCATTTCCAATCAAATTTGACTAAAATTTCACATGAATATTGTTCATTGACGTGATACCAATAAAATTTGACTAAAATTTCACATGAATTTCACTCATTAGCATGTCAAATCAAATTTGACTTAAATTTTATCTCAATTTTGTTCATTGGTGCATTTTTAGTCAAATTTGACTAAAATTTTATATTAGTTTGGTTCATTGATACATTTCGAATCAAATTTGACTACAATTTCTTGTGGGTTTTTTTGTTACTGCGTTTCCAATCATATTTGAATAAAATTTCACATGAGTTTTGTTCATTGACACGATTCCAATAAAATTTGACTAAAATTTCACAAGGCTTTCGTTCCTTGGCGTGTATCAAATCAAATTTGACTAAAATTTCATCTGAATTTTGTTCCTTAGCATGTTTACAATCAAATTTGACTAAAATTTAACATAACTTTTGTTCATTAGCCCAATTCCAATAAAATTTGAATAAAAGTTCACATGAGTTTCGTTCATTGGCCTGTATTTAATCAAAATTGACTAAAATTTCATGTGAGTTTTGTTCATTAGCGCATTTCCAATCAAATTTGACTAAAATTTCACATGAGTTTTGTTCATTGACGCGATTCCAATAAAATTTCAAAAGGGTTTCATTCATTGGCGTGTATCAAATCAAATTTGACTAAAATTTCATTTGAATTTTGTTCATTGACGCGTTTCCAATCAAATTTGATTAAAATTTAACATGAGTTTTTGTTCATTGGCCCAATTCCAATAAAATTTGACTAAAATTTCACAAGAGTTTCGTTCATTGGTGTGTATCTAATCAAATTTGACTAAAATTTTACATGAATTTTGTTTATTAGCGTATTTTCAATCAAATTTGACTAAAATTTCACCTTAAGTTTAGTTCATTATCGTGTATCAAATTAAATTGGACTAAAATTTTGCATGAGTTTTGTTCATTGGCGTGTTTACAATCAAATTTGACTAAAATTTCATGCGAGTTTTTTTTGTTGGCGCGTTCCCAATCAAATTTGACTAAAACTTCTCATGAGTGTTGTTCATTTACGCGAATCCAATAAAATTAACTAAAATTTCACCAGGGCTTCTTTCAATAGCGTGTATCAAATTAAATTTGACTAAAATTTCATCTGAATTTTCTTAGTTCGCACGTTTTCAATCAAATTAGACAAAAATTTCACATGTGTTTGGTTCATTGACACATTTCGAATCAAATTTGGCTAAAATTTCATGCGGGGTTTTTTCATTGGTGTGTTTCCAATCAAATTTGACTAAAATTTCACATGAGTTTTGTTCATTGACGCAATTCCAGTAAAATTTGACTAAAATTTCTCTAGGGTTTTGCTCATTGGCATGTATCAAATCAAATTTGAATAAAACTTCACATGAGTTTTGTTCATTGGCACGTTTCCAATCAAATTTGACTAAAATTTCACCTGAATTTCGTTCATTAGCATGTATCAAGTCAAATTTGACTAAAATTTCACCTCAATTTCGCTCATTGGCGTGTATCAAATCGAATTTGACTAAAATTTCATACAAGTTGTGTTCGTTGGCGCGTTTCCAATCAAATTTGACTAAAATTTTACATGGATTTGGTTCATTGATCCATTTCCAATCAAATTTGACTAAAATTTCACCTGAGTTTTGGTTTGTTGGCATATTTCGAACCATATTCGACTAAAATTTTAAGAGGGTTTTTTCGTTAGCGCATTACTTACAAGATTTAACTAAAATTTCACCAAGGTTTCGCTCATTGGCACGTATCAAATCAAATTTGACTAAAATTTCATCTAAATTTTATTCATGGCACGTTTCCAATCAAATTTGACTAAAATTTCACATAGATTTGGTTCATTAGCGCGCTTCCAATCAAATTTGACTAAAATTTTTATGGGATTTAGTTCATTGGCACTTTTCCAATCAGATTTGACTAAAATTTCACATGAATTCTGTTCATTGGCTTGATTCCAATAAAATTTGACTAAAATTTCACACGAGTTTTTTCTTTAGCGTGTATCAAATAAAATTTAACTAAAATTTCACATGAGTTTTGTTTATTGGCTTGTTTCCAATCAAATTTCACTAAAATTTCATCTGGGTTTTGTTCATTGACATGTATCAAATCAAAATTTGACTAAAATTTCACATGAGTTTTGTTCATTGACGTGATTCCAATAATAATTGACTAAAATTTCTCCATGGCCTCGTTCAATGGCATTATCAAATCGAATTTGACTAAAATTTTATCTGAATTTTGTTCATTGGCGCATTTCCAATCAAATTTGGCGAAAATTTCGTGCGATTTTTCCGTTGGCGCGTTTCAAATAAAGTTGATTAAAATTTCGCATAAGTTTAGTTCATTGGCTCGATTCCAATAAAATTTGACTAAAATGTCACATGAGTTTTGTTCATTGGCATGTATCTAATCAAATTTGACTAAAATTTCACATGAATTTTGTTCATTGGCGCATTTCCAATTAAATTTGATTAAAATTTCACCTTAGTTTAGTTCATTGTCGTGTATCAAATCAAAATTGACTAAAATTTCACATGAGTTTTGTTGATTGATGCGTTTACAATCAAATTTGACTAAAATTTCACCTGAGTTTCGTTCATTGGTGTGTATCAAATCAAATTTGACTAAAATTTTGCTTGAGTTTTATTTGTTGCTGCGTTTCCAATGAAATTTGACTAAAATTTCACATGGATTTGGTTCATAGGCGAGTTTCCATTCAAATTTGACTAACACATCACATGAGTTTGGTTCATTAGCACATTTTGAATCAAATTTGACTAAAATTTCAAGCGAATTTTTTTGTTGGCACGTTTTGTCACACCCCAAATATATACAGATAACCATATTAATTCCTATGTCGAAATGATATTGGTAACTCGATCTAGACATAAAATTTAGATATACTTTTTTTTTTAATAAAATGAAACGAGCATTTGCACAATTATGTCCCTAATTGTTAACTTCAAATCACCTGTGATGATCATATATTATATCAAAATCAACGATCATATAACCATAATCCAACACGTATGTTCTAAGGTTATAAACACATCTATAGGCCATTTCAAAAGTTATACAAGACAGGACCCCCAAAATACGACACAATAGAGTGTAAGCTCAAAACAATAGCCCACAAAATAACCTTACAGGTCGTCATCCATGTACATTGATCTTTGGAATCCCGTAAGAGCTCCATAGCTAGTCGTGCCCTCTACATAGTTCCATGCTCACCTACAATGCAAGAACTACATAAGACAATGCTTAGTAAGCAAGAATCATGCATGTCATGAGTATGAGTAACAAGGATATGTGACACCATGTCATTTACTTTAAAGATCATGCTAAAGATGCATCATATTCCAATATTCATCAAAGTCAACTCGAAATTATTTCATTTGAAATCTTTCATTTCATTGGGTCCTTGACCCACCAACTATGTACCGGATAGAGCTCTGCATAATAACAATATCTATATTCAAGTGGCCAATATGAAATCGACACCGACGAGTGGACCACCCTCTCGTGATCACTAGAGGCCCATCCCCTAACTACCCCTATGATCACCCAAGAAGTCTCCCACCCGACAACGCCAATAATCATAACAAGGGCATAGTCGAGTGGTCCGCCCTCCCGTGATCACCAAAAGCCCATCCCCTGTCTACCTTTGCAATCACCCAGGAAGTATCACCCGCGATGCCAAACATATCACATAAGCATGCCTCACATGCCTCGGTGCCCTAGTAGTAGTCAATAAAACATTTATAAAGAAAACTTACTTTTAAATCATGTTTCGCATGCAAAGTTTTCAACCATGATCATATGTTGTGCATGCCAATGAAAATGCTCGTGAATGACATGCTTAATGGAAGTCGATGTCAATGTATTTTGCAACTGCATACTCAATGATCATAATCATCATATAGGGTACAACGAGCTTTCTTATCAAAGTATGAAAATATCCTAACATCACTATACCACAAATGCTAGGTTCTTGCATCGTAGTTGCAAATGGATTTTTACTTACCTTTTTGCCCTTGTGTGTGCACAAGCTCCTATAGAGATTATATCACTTTCCTTTTTCACTCAACGTCGGAAAATCACCTGTATTACCATTTAATATTAAAGACAATCCTCCATTTAATTGCCTTAACACACACAAAATCCCAAAATACTTCCATTCACGTCAAAATAATTTAAACGAATTCATTATTCAAGTTACTAACGGCATTACAATCTCGTCCCATAAGTCTCATTTTTCCTCGAGTCCAATTACCAACATCAACGTCATCCAATTGTTGTTAACAACCTAATACTCCTTAGAATCTATTTTCTAGGCCCAAGAGATAATTAATTAATTTACATGTAAAGGTTGAAATCATATTGAACACATAAATGGACAGAACCTGTTTTTCAGGTTTCATCACCGTCCAACTACTTTTCCAATCCGTTTTCACCCCCTTATCCATATCCAATGACTCCCAAATTTTTACCACGTTTCTATAACATGTATGTGAAGACAATAATGCTCTAAAGTCGTGAAAATCAAGTGTTCTCAGCATCAAAATAGTCCATTTCCACGACATCAAAATCAGGCAGTTTTCATTGTGACAGCTTTCGGTTTCCATTTTATTAGCATGTCATTAAACAGATTCCAGGCTATTAGAAGACCATTTATATCCTTATAAATCCCATATAACAACATTAATTTACATAGATACAAGTTATATCTTCAGTATTATCCAAAATCAAAGTTTAAACCATCCAAATTCATCAATCAACACATCTCTATTCCTGTTGGTTTCTTTCAGGTTCTTGTACTCAATTACCCCTCTCTTTTGCCATCATAAAATCATAATCAAAACTTATTCTTAGCCTCAAGTAATTTTATAGTTTAAACATATTATAAAACAAGCAAAAGAACTAAAGAAAAACTTCAAAACCGTGAGCTAAACTCACCTATCCAGAAATTCAATTTCAGCTCCTTGTTTCTGCTTCTCTCTTTTCCTTTTTGCTTTCTCTTTCAATCGGTGGTCAATTGGGGATAATTTGTAAGACTAAACATGTTGCTAGGAGGTGTATATAAAGTCTTCAAGATGCTGGAGACGTGACTCTTCCTTAAGGATTAAGAAAATGTGGGGTGCAGCCAAGTGTTTATCACGAGGTGGTCTTTTCCTACTATATTTGACTTTTCTCTTGGACTATTTAACTTATATTGATTTAAAAAATATATATATTGATCTATATTAAATAAAAAGAGGTAGGAGACGTGCTATATATCTTAAGGATGAAGGGATTGAATGTTAAAATGACAACTATCCCAAGCATGAGGTGCCAAGCACGACGTGTCTTCATTGCAGCCATACTTGATTTTCAACTATTATATTTGGATCCATTTATGATTATAAGATATATATTCATCCTATAATAAGTGCTTAAGGTGTAGGACACGAGATTGATGCCTTAAGGTTGGGTGTTAAAATGATAAATATTAAAAGCATGAGGTGTCACTAGTAAAAATCTGATTTTATATCTATCTTTGCAGGTATAAATCAAGTATCCTGGGCTTATGTTAATGTGTTTACAATCCATTTCACTTGCCCTAAGATTTCAAAATATTTTATAGAGCTAATTCCTCAATCGTTCATTTAATTACTTACCCGATTGATACTCGATTCTCGATTAATTTCCACAATTCGCACCTCCATATTTATAACGTCATATGAGACATATATTATCGCGTCATGATCATGTCCCTTTATGTCTCATGTCCCAAATATGTCAATTACCTATCTAGCGTTTAACATGACCTCGAACAACCGAATAGAAAGCTTGAACTTTTGTCGATACTAATTCCCGACCTTTCCGATTTCCATAACTTACCAAGCTAATCTTCAACATCTAGTTAACGCAATTTTCTATCATAGCTCAATGTGAAATTCACTACTTAGGTCAAGGAGTCAAAGATCATCACTATATAAAGATTTTAAAGCCTTGATGATCAAACACACGTTTTTAAGAGAAAGTAATTAGGAAGTTGATGCAAATGATAATGTAATTAGCATGGAATGCATGAATCATATTGGCCAAATGTAGAACGTGAAGTTCGGGGTATTACATCCTCCCCTCCTTATAAAAATTTTGTCATCGAAATTTGCTTATCAAAAAGTTCAGGATATTTAACCCGCATTTCATTTTCTCTTTCCCAAGTAGCCTCTTCGGTTAGATGATTCTGCCACAGCACCTTAACTAACGGAATTTTCTTGTTTCTTAGTTGCTTTATCTCTCGTTGAAGGATCTTTACCGACTTTTCTTCGTAAGTCAAATCTGGTTTTATCTCCATCGATTTTTTCCTCAATACATGAGAAGGATTTCCAATATATTTTCTTAGCATGGATATAAGAAACACATTGTGTACTTGAGACATTGATGAAGGAAGGTCAAGTTTGTAGGCAACATTCCCAATTCTCTCAATAATAGTAAATGGATCAATATTTCTTGGGCTTAGTTTTCCCTTCTTTCCAAACCGCATCACTCCTTTCATTGGTGCTATCTTCAAAAATACTTGATCTCCCACAATAAATTCTAACATTCTTGTTCTTTGATCTGCATAACTTTTTTGTCAATTTTGAGCGGTTTGCATCCATTGATGTATTTGTGTCACAACCTCAGCCATTTCACGTACCATATCTGGAAGAGAGATACAAACTTCGAATCCCTGTCTGAGACAATAGATAGTGGTACTCCATGAATTCTGACTATTTCTTGTACATAAAGTTGAGCATATCGATCCATGGAATAAGTGGAACAAACTGGAATGAAATGGGCAGATTTTGTTAACCTATCCACAATAACCCAAATACTATCATATCCTTTAGTCGTTTTTGGTAATTTCACCACAAAGTCCATTGTGATTCTTTCCCATTTTCATTCTGGGATAGGTAATGGTTGTAATGTTCCTGCTGGTCTTTGATGTTCTGCTTTTATCTATTAACAGGTTAAACATTGTCCCACATATTTGGCTATCTCACCCTTCATATTCGGCCACCAATAATGCAATTTCAAATCTCTATACATTTTAGTAGCTCCTGGATGAACAGAATATGGTGTCATGTGAGCTTCAGATAAAATGTCCCCTCGAATATTTTCTGCATCAGGTACATATAATCGTCCTCTAAATTGCAAGATACCATATGCTAATATATGAAAATCTGAAGCTTCTCCATCTTGTATATCATTCTTTATCTTGGAACAACAATCATCTTCCTGTTGTCCTTGTTGAATTTTATTCAATAAAGTTGGCTGAAATGTCAGCACTACAAGTTTAGCCTCTACAAATCCTTGCGACACAACTTCAATACCCATTTTCTGTAAATCTATCAATTCTGATTTTTGAGTTACAATCATACTCGCAACACTGGATGTCGACTTCCTACTCAATGCATCAGCTACAACATTAGCTTTACCGGGATGATAGTTTATAACATAATCATAATCCTTTACCAACTCTAGCCACCTTCTTTGTCTCATATTCAATTCCTTTTATGTAAATAGATATTTCAAACTTTTGTGATCAGTGTAAATCTCACACCGCTCTCCATACAAATAATGCCTCCATATCTTAAGTGCAAACACAACTGCGGCAAGTTTTAAGTCATGTGTAAGGTAATTCTTTTCGTACTCTTTTAGTTGTCTAGAGGCATATGCAATAACTTTACCATTTTGCATCAATACACATCCCAAACCATTCTTTGAAGCATCACTATAAACTACAAAATTTCCAGTACCAGATGGGATTGAAAGGATAGGGGCTAAAGTTAGTCTTTTCTTCAATTCCTGAAAATTTTGCTCACAAGCATCTGTCCATTCAAACTTAGTACTCTTTCTGGTTAATTTCGTTAAAGAAGAAGCTATTTTGGAAAATCCTTCCACAAATCTAGGATAATATCCAGCTAAACCCATAAAACTTCTGACCTCTGAAGGATTTGTAGGTCGTGGCCAATTATTAATAGCCTCAACTTTACTTGGATCCACTGATATACCCTCACCTGATACTACATGTCCCAAAAATACAACTCTGTCTAACCAAAATTCACATTTCTTAAACTTAGCATATAACTGTTTGTCCTTTAAGACCTGCAGAACTATTCTCAAGTGTTTCGCATGTTCTTCCTTAGTGCAGGAATAAATAAGGATATCATCAATAAATACAATTACAAACTTATCGAGAAAGTCTCCAAATACCCTATTCATCATATCCATAAAAGCTACTGGGGCATTTGTTAACCCAAATGGCATTACCAAAAACTCATAATAACCATATCTTGAACTAAATGCTGTCTTAGAAATGTCGTCTCCCTTTATTTTAAGTTGATGGTATCCAGATTGCAAATCAATCTTCGAAAATACAGATGCACCCTAAAGTTGATCAAACAAATCATCAATTCTCGATAATAGGTACTTATTTTTAATTGTCACCTTATTCAACTCTCGATAATCGATACACAGCCTCATAGTACCGTCCTTTTTACGAACAAACAATACTAGTGCACCCCATGGTGAAAAGCTAGGTTTAATAAAACCTTTATCTAACAACTCTTGTAATTGTAACTTCAACTCTTTCAGTTCAGTTGGGGCCATTCTATATGGAGCCTTGGAAATTGGAGATTTTCCTGGAATTAAATCAATTATAAACTCTATCTCACGATCTGGTGGTACCCCAGGTAAATCATCAGGAAATACCTCTGGAAATTCTTGTGCCACTGGCACATCACTAAGAATTGGATTGTGTTGTGCTTCAATAGCATTAACACTAACCAAATACCCTGCACACCTACTATCTAGTAACCTTTGTGCTTTCAATACCGATATGGTTGGAACTCTAAAACCTTTTTCGATCCCAATGAATGTAAATGGCTCATTCCCTAAAGGTTGAAAGGTTACTAACTTCCTCATACAATCTATAGTAGCTTGATATTTTGACATCCAATCCATACCCAAAATTATATCATAATCTTTCATTTCTAACACAATTAAATCTGCATAGAGCTCTCGATTTTCTATGAGGATCACACGTGCTCTTACAATTAGATTGGTTTATTGTACATCTCCAGATGGAATAGTTACACTATAACTAACCTCTTGTATATCAGGTGTCCTACCCAACCTCCTCACATACTCAGTAGACACAAATGAATGTGTGGCTCCAGAATCAAATAGTACAAGTGCTATGATGCCAAAAATAGAGAATTTACCTATTACCATGGATGGATTTGTCTCAGCATCTGATTTGGTAATAGTAAACACCCTAGCTGGCACTTTCTTTTGCTCCATAGGGTTTGGATTACCTGGGCATTCTTACATCTCTATATAGTTCTGGTCTTAGCCCCTCAAGAAATCTTTCTACCTTTAGTACCTCAGTATTAACCATGTGGGTAGCAAGATAGTTGTTCAAACTTACGAATATACTCTCCCACTATCATCCCTCCTTGTCTTAACCGTATAAATTCATTCATCTTCATGGCTCGAATAGGGGCTGTAAAATATTTATTACGAAATAACTCTTTAAATCTTTCCCAAGTCATGGCATTTACATCTTCAATGTTACTCATCGTATCCCACTAATGTCCAGCACTACCTCGTAGCATAAAGGATGCACAATCTACCTTTCCTACTTCTAAAACTCTCGTATACCTGATCATATTCTCTAAAGTTCTCAACCAATCCTCTACTGCAGGTGGATCTAATGCACCCTCAAATATTGGAGGGTTTAGTTTTCTAAATCTTTCTCCAACTGTCTCATTATGTTCAGCCCTTTGTTATGGTTGTAAGAATTCCGCCCTTTATTGTTCTCCCCTTTCTCTTTGTAGTATTAATTGCTGAATTTGTTGAGATTGTCGCTCAACTAATTCCGTAAGTCTATCAATAACAACGTCTCGACTATCATCTTGAACGGACGTCTCTTGCCCTGGAGTTCTATCTCTACTACTACTACCATCCCTGGTTCTAACCATGGTTGCAAATAAAGGTTGGCCAATATCATTCATGAAATATACAAAAATAATGCAACAAATAAAACCTACTAGCATAGCTGTGCTCTTTCGTACTCTGAGATCATGTACATGGACAACTTTTATTTAAATATCATTTTCCAAATTGAATGTTTCCTATGTCAAAAATGGGTTTCAAATGAGACTAAAAATCTGAAGTATACTTTAGTCATCCAATATTCATGTCTTAGTGCCACTAAGGTGTCTAGAATTATTTGGGGTTCTACAATTTTCTCTAGGATTTCGTTTATTGACGTGTATCAAATCAACTTTGACTAAAATTTCCTCTGAATTTTGTTCGTTAGCACGTTTCTAATCAAATTCGACTAAAATTTCACATGAGTTTTGGTTCATTTACACATTTCGAATCAAATTTCACTAAAATTTGATGCGGATTTTTTCGTTGGCGCGTTTCCAATCAAATTTGACTTAAATTTTACCAGGGTTTCTTTCAATAGCGTATATCAAATCAAATTTGTCTAAAATTTCAACTGAATTTTGTTCGTTAGCACGTTTCCAATCAAATTAGACTAAAATTTCACATGAGTTTAGTTCATTAACACATTTCGAATCAAATTTGGCTAAAATTTCATGTGGATTTTTTTTCATTGGTGCGTTTTCAATCAAATTTGATTAAAATTTCACATGGGTTTTCTTCATTGGTTCGATTTCAATAAAATTTGACTAAAATTTCACATGAATTTTGTTCATTGGCGCATTTCCAATCAAATTTGACCAAAATTTCACCAGGGTTTCATTTTTGGCGTGTATCAAATCAAATTTGACTAAAATTTCACATATGTTTTGTTCATTGGCGCGTTTCCAATCAAATTTGACCAAAATTTCACCAAGGTTTCATTTTTGGCGTGTATCAAATCAAATTTAACTAAAATTTCACATGAATTTTGTTCATTGGCGCCTTTAGAATCAAATTTGACTAAAATTTCACGCGGGTTTGGTTTATTGATACATTTCGAATCAAATTTGATTAAAATTTCATGTTCATTTTTTCGTTAACGCATTTCCAATCAATTTTAACTAAAATTTAACATGAGTTTTGTTCGATGATGCGATTCCAATTAACTTTAACTAAAATTTCACCAGAATTTCGTTCATTGGCGTGTATCAAATCAAATTTGACTAAAATTTCATCTGAATTTTGTTCGTTGGCATGTTTCCCATGAAATTTGACTAAAATTTCACATGAGTTTGGTTCATTGGCTCGTTTCCAATTAAATTTTGGCTAAAAATTCACCTGGGTTTTGTTGTTGGCGCTTTTCCAATCAAATTTGGCAAAAATTTCACATGAGTTTTGTTCATTGACGCGATTCTAATAAACTTCGACTAAAATTTCACTAGAGTTTCGTTAATTGGCATGTATCAAACTAAATTTGACTAAAATTTCAACTGAATTTTGTTATTTGGCACGTTTGCAATCAAATTTGACTAAAATTTCACTGAGTTTAGTTCATTGGCGCGTTTCGAATCGAATTTGACTAAAATTTCTCTGAGTTAGGTTCATGGACAAGTTTCTAAATCAAACTTGACTAAAATTTCATCTAAATTTTGTTCATTGCCTTGTTTCCAATCAAATTTAACTAGACTTTTATATGAGTTTAGTTCATTGACAAATTTCAAATTAAATTTGACTAAAATTTTGTGCAGATTTTTTTGTTTGCACGTTTCCTATCAAATTTGACTAAAATTTAGCATTAGTTTCGTTCATTGTCGTGATTCCAATAAAATTTGACTAAAATTTCACCATGGTTTAGTTCATTGGCATGTATCAAATCAAATTTGACTAAAATTTCCTCTGAAATTTGTTCGTTGGCGAGTTTCTAATCAAATTTGACAAAAATTTCACATGAATTTTGTTCTTGACACATTTCGAATCAAATTTCACTAAAATTTCAAGCGGGTATTTTCGTTGGTGCGTTTCCAATCAAATTTCACTAAAATTTCCCATGAGTTTTGTTCATTGGCCCGATTCCAATAAAATTTGACTAAAATTTCCCACGAGTTTCGTTCATTTACATGTTTAAATTCAAATTTGACTAAAATTTCATCTGAATTTTGTTCGTTAACTCGTTTCTAATCAAATTTGAAAAAAATTCCCATGAGTTTTGTTCATTGATACATTTTTAATCGAATTTGACTAAAATTTCATGCGAATTTTTTCTTTGGCGCGTTTCTAATCAAATTTGACACAAATTTCACATAAATTTCTTTCATTGGCGCGTTTTAAATCAAATTTGACTAAAATTTCACACGACTTTTGTTTGTTGGCACGTTTCCAGTCATATTTGACTAAAATTTCACCTGAATTTAGTTTATTGGCGTGTATCAAATCAAATTTGACTAAAATTTTACGTTAGTTTTTTCGTTGGCGTGTTTCTAATCAAATTTGACTTAAATTTCACAAGAGTTTTGTTCATTGATGTGATTCCAACAAAATTTGACTAAAATTTCTCTAGGGTTTTG